TTATTATATATAGAATTTATAAAAAATTTATCTTTATTATATACAGAACTTATCTTTAATAATACTTAAGATATATAAAATTTATATTTATTATATATCGAATTTATAAAAAATTTGTCTTTATTATATATAGAACTTATTTTTAATAATACTTAAGATATACGAAATTTATATTTATTATATATAAAATTTATAAAAAATTTATCTTTATTATATATAGAACTTATATTTAATAATGCTTAAGATATACAAAATTTATATTTAGAGAACTGTTATTGCCACCTCCTATTTTTGTTAATGCCACCCCTATTAGGTCGGATCTGATTTCTGAAGTAGTCACATGACTGACAACAAAGTTTTCTCTGCAGCATTTACAAATGACTCCTACATGATAAATCTACAAAACAAATTATAACACAAATTTTCGTCTAAAACTGAGTTGTACAAAAGTTTCTTAATGCCTTTTAAAGTATTGTTTAAATCAACAAGCTGGTAATAAAGCAGTGTAACTAAACTAAAATTCTGTAAGAACTTCATTTTTTATTCTGAATAAAATCACAAAAACATCATTTTTGACCTATACTAAAAAATTGTTTAAATTATGTAATACAATTGTACAGAATATACAAAGCAAAATAATTATTTTTACATACTGTTAAACATATTTATTATTGCAAACATTTTTATGCTATTGAGTTATATAATTCATATACAGTATTATTATTTAATCTGTATTTTATATTGGTTACTTCAATTTCGATTGATAATCGATTTATAAATCAGTTATTTAGTACTGTACTGTATAATACAATCTATAAACATATAACTATTCTTAAGAATATTTCAAAATATCTAAATCACTAATTTAAGGAAACATAGATTCTATATCTTATTCCATCTTGCAATTTGATCCAGAATTTCTTGGGATGTTTTTTGAGTAGTTCAAATATAGTTGAGGTCAGATCGTATCATAAGTATATTTTGCTGGCCATTCTTCTTAATAATAAGCATATATGAAATTCAATAATAATAAGTTCTAAACAATTAAATCTGAGTAAAACTCTCTTGAAGTAGTGGTGCTCTTCTGTTTAACAACCAGTTTTCACTTTATAAAAATAAAGAATACTCTATTAATTTAAACACTAGGAGGATTCAACAAATATTAGTTGAAATATTTGAATCTTGTATATTTTTATTACATATTAAGAAGAACTACCAAAAATCTTTATTATTAAAATTTACTTTATAATCTTGACTATATTTATGATCAACAATTGTAATTAGGGATGAGTTTAGTTACAAACAATCATGATTGTTCATAGTTAATTTTCTAAATACTGAGATGATTTCTTATTTTGAGCTTTTAATTAAGGTTGTTTATAATTAAATTCTGTTTAACTTTAATTAAAAGCTCAAAAATAAGAAATCATTTCAGTATTTAGAAAATTGACTATGAACAATCATGATCATTTGTGACTGAATCTATTCCTAATTGCAATATAGTGAAGATGAAATATGTGTAATATGTAAAAAATATATAATGGTATACAATAGTATGTAAAAAGTATATGTATATAATATATAATATTATAAAAAATATAATGTAAATATAGTATTAGAAAAATAAAATGTTAAGTATTTTTTTTTTCACAAAAAAAAAATAAAATAAAAGAGCAAAAGCAAAAGTTATACATATACTATTATATACAAATTTCAATAAACTTGATTACCAGTTTTAGCTTTTAAGCTGTTATCTGAACACTGAACAATGAGCCTGTATGTACTTTATATACTTCTTTTTGAATATATAATTATGTTTTAAGTAGAAAATACTTACTCTTATTACAGTTACTGTAACTTAAACATGCTTCCACCTTCATTCAATACATTTACAAGCCATAAGGAGCTTCTTACTTATGTTCAATTCTTTGCTAAAAGTCAAAGTTATGCTATTACTATAAAAGGTCATGATCTGGTTCAAACAGTGAAATCAAAAATATGATGCTAGTCTGTGACAAAGGCAGTTATTATAGAAACAGATTGAATTTAAAGAAAATTCATGTCATAAACAGACAGCATCAAGACTAATAGAGTGTCCATTTGAGCTCTTTGGAACAAAATATGACAATGTTTAGTGTTTTGAGATCTGACATTCTGAACATAATCATGAGGCTTCTGTTAATATGTCTGGTCATCTAATCACTTGAAGGTTAAATATTGATCAAAGAGAACAAGTTAAACAAATGTTTGCTGCTGGCTCCTGTCCTCGCCAAATTTTATCAACTATTCAGCAGAACGATTCTTCTTCAGTAGCCATATCTAGAACAATCTATAATACTTTTACTCTATTCATCAAAAAAGACTTAATGGCTGAACACCAATCCAAGCCCTTATTAATAAATTGTGAAAATTTGACTTTGATTTCATATATCAATGCAATAATCAAAACCATGTTATACACCTTTTTTTTGCCCATAGGGTATTTATTGCTTTAACCTGTGCCTACTCTACTATATTAATCATAAACTGTACTTATAAAACCAATAGGTATAGAATACCTCTGTTAAACATTGTTGGTGTATCTAGTTTTAATACAACATTTTTTTTCTTGTTTTGTTTTTCTGATTGATGAGATGGAGGAAGACTATGAATGGGCCTTGAATTGTGTTTTAAAATTTTTAATGAATTATCCTATCTGAGTATTATTATTACTAACAGAAAATTGGCATTAATAAAAGCTATTGGCAAAATTTTTCTTAATGCTCATCATATTTCGTGTATCTGGCATATAAATAAAAATATTTTAGCCAAATATAAAAAGCATTTCTTCACAAAACAATATTGGGCTGAATTCATGACAAAGTGGCAAGAGATTATAGAATCTACTACTAAGCAAGAGTTCATAACTCAATGAAGCAAATTTTTACAATATTATAAAAATTAACTTATCATTTTACAATACCTTCATAAGATTTGGTTGCCTCATAAAGAATGTTTCATTTCTGCTTAGGCCAACCATTATTTACATCTTAATAATAAAATAACATCACAGGTAGAAGGCATGCATACTATCATTAAAAGGTAATTATTTATTTAGATATATGTTTTTTTTTTTTAACTTCTGGTTGTATCTCTAATCACATTAAACAACTTTTGGTTTATCAAAAATAATTACTAGATGTTTACAAGTATCTACAGGCGATCTTGAGTTAGTATGTTGAAAGATTATACTACAGGTGAAGGCTCAAGTCAAAGAAATTCATGCTATGATTTACTCAGAACATATAAGAATACATCATAAATATTGAATCATTCTTTTTGAAACTCTTTTTTGCCATGTATCTGTTTTTTTCTTAAAAAAAACTTATAATGAATAGCTAAAAGCATCAAATGCAACTGAAGACTTACTCCTAAGCTCTTGTACAGGAATTCTCAGATTAACAATAGGAATTCCATGTTCACATATAATTAATGAACATTTGATGACTGGCCAGGCATTGCAACAGACTAATTTCCATGAATATGGATGGATTCAAGATCATTATCTTGAATTTCTTAAACCTATTTATCCTACAAATAATAATTCTGCTAATTTCCAGCCCCTTCTTCAGTCACTTGCACAAATGTTTCAATTTTGGCCACCACATCAATAAACTACTATTTATGCCTAGCTAGAAGAGTTAATAAAAACTCCTCCTACCATTTCAAAAAACCTAGTTACTATCAGACTATGGAGAAGATCAGCCAGTGCAAGAAATAAAAATCAAATGTCAATACAAAGAGAGCTGTCTGCATTCAAGCTTGTCAAAAAATGATTAAGGCAATATGGCCTATACTAGCAAACTGGTCATAACTGCAGAACATGTCCCAATATGTGAATTATTCTGTGATATTTCTAAATATGTAATTGCTTAATTTATCTTGTAATCTTGTATTATAAATTTATAAATTAGGCGTATAGCTTATTTTATAACTTTGTATTAAGCAAATATGATATAAACTACTATATTTATGCATTAATTATTTGTTTTTATATACTATATGAGCCTTTTTACTCTTAACATAGTTCTCAAATTTCTTATTTTTTATTGATGAAATCAAAGCTTATTAATAAGATTATTAAGAAGAGTTTATCCATACGTACCTTTTATTTAAAATGCTCAAAATCAAGAGCCTAGCCAATTTGTGACTTATGAGCATTCAAATAATATGATTAATTTGTTCAAGAATGATTAAAAAATTCTATATACATATACTCTATTAGTCTTGTTCTATGTATAAGCCAACTATTATATCATTTCATAGTGAATCCTTTTGAATTGAAGATAAAGAACCTTAATTTCACTTATGAAATATGTATTATATTTTTAAATAGTTCTCTAAGTTGTACAAATGTAGCTATAAGTAATTATAGCCTGATATTTATAAACTTTCCCTGCAGCACTCACTTTATCATACATATCAAATATATATATACATATGTACATATATACAAATTCAGATCAAACAAGTTATATTCAGCAACATGTTTCATTTCATATAATAAAAGATCATATAATATGGGTAAAAAAACAATTTTTTAGCATGATCAAGGACAATGTTTTTGCCTAATAAATAAAAAGTTCCTTGTAAAATTTCAGTCTAGTTGTGCTGTTTTAAAAGTCATTAAGAAACTTTTGTACAACTCAGTTTTAGATGCAAAATTTGTGTTAAGATTTGTTTTGTATATTTATCATATAGGAGTCATTTGTAAATGCTGCAGTGAAGCCTCTGTCATTAGTTATGTGACCACCCTGAAAATTAGATCCAACCTAATAGGGGTAGCATTAACAAAAATGAGAAGTGGCAATAACAGTTTCCTTATATTTAGTATATATAAAATTTATAAAAACTATATCTTTATTATATACAGAACTTATCTTTAATAATACTTAAGATATACGAAATTTATATTTATTATATATAGAATTTATAAAAAATTTATCTT